CTCCCAGTAGCTTGGATTACAGGCGCGCGCCACCACACCCGGCGGAAAAACAGCTTTCGCATTGGACTTTTAATTGGGTAAAAAGTGACGTCACGAAGACAAATACAGATACAGCGGCATCAAGTGGTGGTGAAGAGAACTGCAGTTTCAAAGAATCTGATTTCTTTTAGATTGTGATGTTGAACAAAATTAACTTTCAGGCGTTTCTCAGGTAACAAATCATCTCGACATTTATTTCATCTGCTGTTCACGCAATTATTTTGTTTTTCAATGTTTTTTTTACCCCTAGACGTATTTTAAGGAGAACCTGACGTTTCCGATACTGACTTTCAGTCTTGTCCTTGGAGTGCTCAGATGTCTTCAGATTCATTAAATCTTTTAATGAGCTGTAGATGTTGAATTATTCAGTCTTCAGTTTTACAATGAGGAACAAAACAGAAATGGATCCACTATTTAGGTTTTTTTTTTTTTTCAGATTTGTGAACCAATGCCAAATTTTACCTCTGATTAATTAAATTTAAAATGTTCTTTTTAAACCCAGTCATCTTGCTTTTAAACCCAGTCAACTTGCTTTTTTAAAATTTTATTATTTTCATTAAAACAAAATAACTATATACAATAGAAAACAAATATATATATACAATCATAAAAATAAAATGAAAGGCAGCAAAAGAAGAATAAATCTTATGATGTCCCTTTGTCCCCCAGAATATATTCAAACAAAAGTAATTTACAAAAAAACAAAGCTAAGTAAAAACAACATCAACTCATCTCTTAGTTCAAACAGTACAATTACTGAGTTTAAATGTTATACATTTACTATGTTCCATTGTGAATAAATATGGATTATTCAGATTTGTTCATCATTGCATTCTGCTTCATGTACAAACCGGATTCCAAAAAAGTTGTGACAATAAACAAATTGTGAATAAAAACTGAATGCAATGATGTGGAGATGGCAAATGTCAATATTTTATTCGTAATATAACATAGATGACAGATCAAAAGTTTAATCTGAGTAAATGTAACATTTTAAAGGAAAAATATGTTGATTCAAAATTTCACAGTGTCAACAAATCCCCAAAAAGTTGGGACAAGTAGCAATAAGTGGCTGGAAAAAGGAAATTGAGCATATAACGAACAGCTGGAAGACCAATTAACACTAATTAGGTCAATTGACAACATGATTGGGTATAAAAAGAGCTTCTCAGAGTGTCAGTGTCTCTTAGAAGCCAAGATGGTAAGAGGATCACCAATTCCACCATTGTTGCGCAGAAAGATAGTGCAACAATACCAGAATGATGTTACCCAGCGTAAAATAGCAAAGACTTTTAAGTTATCATCATCAACCGTGCATAACATTATCAAAATATTCAGAGAATCTGGAACAATCGCTGCGTGTAAGGGTCAAGGCCGTAAAACTCTACTGGATGCTCGTGATCTCCGGGCCCTTAAACGTCACTGCACCTCAAACAGGAATGCCACTGTCAAGGAAATAACAGAATGGGCTCAGGAATACTTCCAGAAAGCATTGTCAGTGAACACAATCCACCGTGCCATCCGCCGTTGCCAGCTGAAACTCTACAGTGCAAAGAGGAAGCCATTTCTAAGCAAGCTCCACAAGCTCAGACGTTTGCATTGGGCCAGGGGTAATTTAAAATGGAGTGTGGCAAAATGGAAGACAGTTCTGTGGTCAGATGAGTCACGATTTGAAGTTCTTTATGGAACACTGGGACGCCATGTCATCCGGACCAGAGAGGACAAGAATAGCCCAAGTTGTTATCAACGCTCCGTTCAGAAGCCTGCATCACTGATGGTATGGGGTTGCATGAGCACTTGTGGCATGGGCAGCTTGCATGTCTGGAAAGGCACCATTAATGCAGAGAACTATGTTCAGGTTCTAGAACAACATACACTCCCATCTACAAGTCATCTCTTTCAGGGAAGACCCTGCATTTTTCAACACGATAATGCCAGACCACATTCTGCAGCAATCACAACATCATGGCTACGTAGGAGAAGGATCCGGGTACTGAAATGGCCAGCCTGCAGTCCAGATCTTTCACCTATAGAGAACATTTGGAGCATCATAAAGAGGAAGGTGCGACAAAGAAGGCCCAAGAAGATTGAACAGTTAGAGGCCTGTATTAGACATGAATGGGAGAGCATTCCTATTTCTAAACTTGAGAAACTGGTCTCCTCTGTCCCCAGACGTCTGTTGAGTGTTGTAAGAAGGGGGGATGCCACACAGTGGTAAAAATGGACTTGTCCCAACTTTTTTGGAATTTGTTAACGCCATGAAATTTAAAAACAACTGTTTTTTCCCTTAAAATGATACATTCTCTCAATTTAAACTTTTGATCTGTGATTTGTGTTCTATTCTGAATAAAATATTAGATGTTGGCGCCTCCACATCATTGCATTCAGATTTTATTCACAATTTGTTTAGTGTCCCAACTTTTTTGGAATCTGGTTTGTACATTTTATACAATGCACTAATTCTTTCAGAATTAGGATTTTAGCTGTTCATAAATTGGGAATAATATTAAAACTGTAAAAGTTGTGCTCAAAAATGTATTTATTTTTACAGTTTAGTCACATTAAAGAATTTTGTTTTAAGGCGCCCATGAGTGTCTAAAATAAAGATGAATGCTTTGCATAAACACTTTGAAGTGTAACAGAAAAAGTAACTAATTAATGTTAGCAGCATTCAATTATCTATTATTGTACAGTCTTGCATGGGTTGTACAAAACTTATCCTCAAGTAAAAGATTGTTTTAATTTAAGAGTGACCAGTTCTTTTGTTTATATACAAAATTAAACAAGACGGTGACTGTTCCTCGACAAACACATCTTAAAATAACAGAAGACAAAGGAAAGTATCAGTGTTGAGTCTTTAATAATCAGAGATCATCAGCAAAAACTCAACCTTCACTTTACAAAACACTTAAAATCCAGTCCAGATAGTACATTAAAGGAAATTATAAAGTTGTGTTTACTGACAGTATTCCAACAACACAGATTAAGAACGTCTCCAACAGCTTCACGTGTTCACCAGACTTCAGTCAGACTGTCACGACTCAGTTAGCTGTGAGAGACAAAGTCTAGTGAGTGAGTGCAACATTTACATCAATTAAAGGCAGAATCAGTGCAGAAATATAACTTCTAGGTCAACAGAGCAGTAAATGTAAAAATTAGGTGAAGTTGTACATCAGTAATGCTTTGCTGTAGAATTTATACTTTGTTTTAAAATAAAGAGAATAAAGTGATCAACGTGAGCCTTTTGAGATGAGATCCTGTTAATGTGTTCAAACATCAAGCAGACAGCAAGATGCAGAAACACCAACTACAATTACAACTGCTTTAAAAGTGAGCTTTGCACACCAGAGGTAGACCCTTGTTGTGAGAAACAAGTCAAATACTTGCAATAGTTGTGATCACACAATGAGAACAGTTTCTTGAGACTAAATGTGTTGTCCTGTAGCTCTTGAGCTTCATCATAACAGCTACCGTGGTGCTTAAAAGTTTGTGAAGACTTGAATTTTCTGCATAAATAATTGCTCCCCTAAATGCTCCCCAGGTGCTCAATAGCTGCTCACTGCTCCACCTGGGTGTATCCGATGCCGTTAAATGCACAGAACCAATTTCGCCATTGTATGGGAACATACAATGGTGACAACATATAGCACTTAACTCAAATTAAATATGACCTAAAACATCATCAGATTTTCACACAAGTCGTAAAAGTAGAAAAGAGAACCCAGTTAAACAAATGAGACAAATTTATAATACTTGGTCATTTATTTATTGAGGAAAATGATCCATTATTACATATTTGTGAGTGGTAAAAGTGTGTGAATCTTTGCTTTCAGTATCTGATGTGACCCCCATGTGCAGCAATAACTTAACTGAACGTTTCCAGTAACTGTTGATCAGCCCTGCAGTAGGAATTTTATCCATTCCTCTGTACAGAACAGCTTCAACTCTGGATGTTGGTGGTTTCCTCACATTAACTGCTGCTTCAGGTCCTTCCACAACATCTGGATTGGATTAAGATCAGGACTTTGACTTGTTCAGTCCTAAACATGAACTTCTTCTTGAACCATTCTTTGGTAGAACCACGTGTGTGTTTTGGGTCATCGTCTTGCAGCATGACCCACCTTCTCTTCAGATTCAGTTCATGGACAGATGTCCTGACATTTTCCTTTACAATTCTCTGATATAATTCAGAATTCATTGTTCCATCAATGATGGCAAGCTGTCCTGGCCCAGATGCAGCAGAACAGGCTCAAACCATGATACTACCACCACCATGTTTCACAGATGGGATAAGGTTCTTATGCAGGAATGCAGAGTTTTTCATTCTGCAAACAGAACACTTTTCATTTAAACCAACAAGTTCTAGTTTGGTCTCATCCGTCCACAAAACATTCTTCCAACAGTCTTCTGGTTTGTCCACGTGATCTTTATCAAACTGCAGACGAGCAGCAATGTTCTTTTTGGAGAGCAGTGGCTTCTCCTTCAACCCTGTCATGACCCATTGTTGTTCATTGTTCTCCTCATGGTGGACTCATGAACATCAACATCAGTCAATGTGACATCACAGACTATTGTTGTACAGACTATTGTTGTACAGACACATGTTGCTCTTGGAGTGATCTTTGCTGGTCGACCACTCCAGGGGAGGGTATGGACATGAATTTCCACCATTTGTACACAATCTGTCTGACTGTGGATTGGTGCAGTCCAAACTCTTTACAGATGGTTTTGTAACATTTTCCAGTTTGATGAGCATCAACAACTCTTTTTCTGAGCTCCTCAGAATCTCCTGTTTCTGACATGATACACTTCCACACACATGTTGTGAAGAGCAGACTGATAGATCCTGTTCTTTAAATCAAACGGGGTGTCCACTCACACCTGATCATCATCCCATTGATTGACAACACCTGACTCTAATTTCACCTTCAAATTAACTGTTAATCCTGGAGGTTCACATACTGCTGCCACTCACAAACATGTAATATTGGATAATTTTCCTCAATAAATAAATGACCAAGTATAATATGTTTGTATCTTTTGCTTAACTGGGTTCTCTTGGTCTACTTTTAGGACTTGTGTGAAAATCTGATAATGTTTTAGGTCATATTTATGCATAAATAAATACAACTCTGAAGGGTTCATAAACTTTCAAGCACCACTATATGTTGATCTTCCAATACAACAAAGTCTTTCAACCTCGTGGATTTGCTTAAAACAGATTTCAGTTATTTGAACAATTTAGTTTAGTTTCTATCGCAGCTTCATCAGCGGGTTATGTTGAAATACAGGAAAATTGATAAACTTCACCACTTCATTGAAACAAACGTGTGATTTCTCCTTGACGTCGATGTGCTTACCTGCTCTGTGCTTTTGTCCACTTCAGGGCGTGTCGGGGAGGCACGGCTGTAGTTGGATGGTAGAAGGTGCAACCGGCTCGTTTGCACTGTGTTGCAAAGCGGCAAGGCTGGACAGAAGGACAAGTAAAAGTTAGATTTGTTCAGGGTTTAAACACAGTGGGTGAAAAAGTGGACATGCAGAGCTACTTCTACCTTTGGGTGATAAAATGAACAGTCCATCTTCTTGCAATCTGGGAAGAAGCGACATACACTTGTAGTCTGCGCTGGCTGCACTGCTGTAAACAGATAAATTAGAGGGAAGACGTGTTCAAATTAGAATGACTCATTTTCTCTGACAAAGAAGAAACATGTGCAGCAGAATCAGGTGGGTTTGCTTTAAATTAGTCTACTGACAAAATCCTATTTTACTCCACAACCTGGAATTTTTAACTAATTAATTTTCAAGCTTCTCTAGTTAGATACTTTTAAGTGAACATTTTCGTCTGCTGCCACCATAATCAGATCTGTCTGGAACCAAACAGTGAGGAAGAGGTGATCACCCACACCTGGTGAAGACCACAACGACTGTAGGGGCAGAGGAAACCCTAACATGGAAGCCAGGACATTCAGTGAGTTGGATCAGATGGCGGGGGAAGATGCTGGACAGACACTGGTAGACCCAAACGTGTAGTGAGGGTTTGCTGGGAACGCCTGGCAGAAGAACCCATCAGAAAGAGCTTCAACTCGCACCTCCGGGAGAGCTTTAACCGCATCCCAGCTGAGGCGAAGGACATCGAGTCTGAGTGGGCCATGTTCCGTGACTCAATTGTTGAGGTGGCTGCCTTGAGATGTGGCTGCAAGGTTGTCAATGCTTCTTGTGGTGGCCATCCTTGAACTCGGTGGTGGACACCTCAGGTTAGGGAGGCTGTCAAGCTGAAGAAAGAGTCCTATCAGTCCTTGTTGACTGGTGGGACTCGGGAGGCAGCTGAGGAGTACCGGAGGGCCAAGCGGTCCACAGCTTTGGTCGTTGTTGACGCAAAAGCTCAGATGTCGGGGGAGTTTGACGAGGCCTTGGATAAAGACTCTAGGTCGACTCTGAGAAGATTCTAGCAAATCATCAGGTGGTTGAGGAGGGGGAAGCAGCACTTTACTAACACTGTGTTTAGTGAAGCTGGGGTGCTGTTGACCTCAACCAGTGATGTCATCGAGAGGTGGAAGGAATACTTCTCGGACCTTCTCAATCCCACCAGCACTTCTTCCATGGAGGAAGCGGAATCGGGGGACTTTGGGGTTGGTCTGTCCATAACCATAGCCAAGGTCGCCAAGGTAGTTAAAAACCTTTGCGGCGGCAGGGCTCTGGGGGTAGATGAGATTCACCCTGATTTCCTTAAGGCTCTGGATGTTGTGGGGCTGTCTTGGTTGACACACCTTTGCAACGTCGCGTGGACATCGGGAGCAGTGCCACTGGATTGGCAGACTGGGGTGATGGTTCCCCTCTTCAAAAGGGGGACCGGAGGGTATGCTCTAATTATAGGGGCATCACTCTCCTTAGCCTCCCTGGTAAGGTCTATTCAGGGGTACTGGAGAAGTGAGTTTGATCGTTGGTCGAACCTCAGATCCAGGAGGAACAATGTGGATTCCATCCTGGCCGTGGAACACTGGACTAGCTCTTTACCCTCACTAGGGTCCTCGAGGGGTCGTGGAAGTTTGCCCATAAAGTCTGCATGTGTTTTGTGGACTTGGAGAAGGCGTTTGACCGCGTTTCTTGGGGTACACTGTGGGGGTGGTCCGTGAGTATGGGATTGGGGGCTTGTTGCTACAGGCTGTTCCATCCCTATCCCTATCCGACCGGTAGTGTCAGACCCCTTCAGGGTGGGAGTTTGACTCTGCCGAAGCAGGCCGTTGTCCCAGATTCTGTTCATAACTTTTATAGACAGGATTTCTCGGTACAGCCAGGGGGCAGGGGGAGTCTGGTTCGGTGGCCTCAGGATTCCTTTTCTGCCATTTGCAGATGATGTGGTCCTGTTGGCGTCATCGTGCCATGATCTTCAGCTCTCACTGGAGTGGTTCACAGCAGAGTGTGAAGCAGTTGGGATGAGAATCAGCACCTCCACATCTGAGGCCATGGTCCTGAACCTGAAAAGGGTGGATTGCTCTCTTCAGGTCGAGGTTCTGCCTCAAGTAGAGGAGTTAAAGTATCTCAGGGTTTTGTTTATGAGTGAGGGAAGAATGGAGCGTGAGATCGACAGATGGATTGGTGCAGCATCTGCAGTATTGCAGACTCTGTGCCGGTCCGTTGTGGTGAAGAGGGAGCTGAGCTGCAAGTCAAAGCTTTCTGTCAAATTCAGAACTGAATTCAAAATCTTACTTCTAACCTACAAAGCTCTCATCAACCTAGCTCGTCTTATATTATAGATCTTATTTTCCTAACAGAGCACTTAGCTCTCAGACTGCAGGCTTACTTGCGGTTCCTAAAGTTTCCAAAAGCAGAATGAGAGGAAGATCTTTCAGTTATCAGGCTCCTCTCTTGTGGAACCAACTTCCAGTTTCTGTCCATGAGGCTGACTCATTGTCCAGTTTTAAGACTGGGCTTAAGACTTTCCTTTTTAATAAATCCTATAGTTAAGGTTGGCTTGTTATGCTGCTATAGGCTTAGACTACTGGAGGACAAATTGACCTCATTTCTTAAAATGAATTGTTACAATTCAATAGTTTTCATTTGATACTATTTCTATCTTAACATGCGATTCTTGACCTGCCATTGTGTATCTGTTCCTCCTTCCTGTTCCTCTCAAACCCAGCCGATCGAAGAAGATGGCCGCTTGTCCTGAGCCTGATTCTGCTAAAGGTTTCTTCTTCATGAGGGAGTTTTTCCTTTCCACTGTCGCATTCATGCTTGCTCAAGATGAAGAGTCTGTCAAGAGGTTAAACTCAAAGCAGTCTGCTCCTTAGATAACTAATGTTATTAACTTACTTTATATATATATATATATATATATGATTATTTCTGTTCAGTGCCCTGAGACGACTTCTGTTGTGACTTGGCACTATATAAATAAATAAATAAATACTGGTCAATCTACGTTCCTACTCTCACCTGTGGTTATGAATTCTGGGTAGTGACCAAAAGAATGAGATTGTGGATACAGGCGGTTAAAATGAGTTTCCTCTGCTGGGTAGCTGGACTCTCCCTTAGAGATAGGGTGAGAAGTTCAGTTATCCGGGAGAGACTCGGAGTAGAACCACTGCTCCTCCACATTGAGAGGAGCCAGTTGAGGTGGTTTGGGCACCTGGTAAGGATGCTTCCAGAGCGCCTCCGTAGGGAGGTGCTTTGGGCATGTCTGACTGGGAGGAGACCTCGCGGAAGACCGCTGGAGAGACTATGACTCTTGGTTGGCCAGGGAACGCCTTGGGGTCCCCACAGAAGAGCTGGAAGATGTGGCTGTGGAAAGAGATGTCTGGGCCTCCCTGCTCAAGCTGTTGCCCCCGTGACCCGACTTCAGAATAAGTGGAATATGGATGGATGGATTCCTTTTTTCCTAAAAACTACAGCTACCTGCAAACATAAAGCCAAACTAGGCCTGAAGACTTGGTCATTAGCACAATTCTTGTGAGTCAGTAAGTTCTGTAAAACTGAGCTTTCATTGAGGAAGTTTTTATTATGTTCACCTAATCTAGCTGTTTTTTGTGACTTTTTTTTAGCCATCTTATTTGTAAAACACACATATGTATATATATATATATATATATATATATATATGTAGGTCTTTTTATAACTCTATTGTTGTTGCTGTTGTCCATTGTTGTCATAATTCTTTGTTGAAATCAGGTCTCTCTTGTAAATAAGTCCTCGGGGCTCAATGGGATTTACATGTCTAAATAAAGGTTGAATGAAACCTTAGTTATGCCAGAATCTAATTAATGAACATTATTCATAATAACAGTAGATAAAAAGAGAAGTCAAGTTAACTTGTTTTAAAACGGTCACAAAAAAAGGCACGAGAAGTGAGAGTTTAAAGTTACCTGGTCTGAGTGGAGGAGCGGCGCTGCCTCTACGGCTGACGTGAGTAAAGGGACAGTCTGGTTTTGTACACCGAGCATCATATTTACAGTTAGGGTGCACAAACAGGCATTTATCCCCAAACATACAATTGGGAAAAGTCCTAAAGAAAAACAAAAAGCATGAAATCTCAACTGAAACTGGATTTTTTGTTTTTTTTAAAGTGGCATTTCAAAGCCAGGTACTAACTTGCACTGGGTTGTTGGGTGATGGTACAGACACTCATCTCCACTTTTACACACTGGCCAGAACTTGCAGCGCTCCATAACCTTCTGTTTCTTGATGAGAACAGCGTCCTCCTCTTCCATCTCAACAACCATCCCTTCATCTGTCAAAGAGGGCAGAATGTAATAAATATAAAAATGTTTAAAACATAGTTTAATATTATATATATATAATGGGGTTTGTTCAAGAATAAATTAAACATTACCTTCTGATGATGCTGGCATTGGCTGTAATCTGTGCAGGACGCTGACTTTAGACTCTCTGTGGACATTCCCAGCAGCCTCTGTGACCTTTGTGTGTGGTCTCACATCATCCAGCTCCATGTCTCCATCTGTAAGGTTACCCAGTGGGCTTGGTACTCCATCTAAGGTCACTATGAACTTTGGGCTGGATGAGGAGTCAACTCCCTCCCTACAAACATGACAAACAGTGTGAACAACTGGCATCTAATGAATCAGTCAACAAAATATGCAAATGTGCGAGTACCTGGCCTGGACAGTGCGAAGCAATGCAGACTGGACCTGCTGTGGATTTCTGACAGAAGTGTCTTCGATTACGGGTCGACTCATTATGAAGGAGCGCGTATCAAATGGCTTTGGCTCACCCCCAGCAGCTGCTTCAACATCTAAAACAAAAGCATATGCAGTACATAAATCAGGAATTTAAAAGCAGATTTTTAATATAGATGCTTAAATTTCTTAGTGTGAGACAATGGGGGGAAAAGCTAATATTTTTTATATTATTTACTTTTCTCTCTCTTATATTTCAATACTTTTTATTTTATCCAAATAGATTTTTTTTATTGTATTGTACAGGTTATTGGTCACATTAAAAAGGTGGACTTGTTTATTTTTCTCATTTGTTAACATAAAAACCTGGTCTTTTAACAGAGATATATTTTATATTCACTGTATAAACCCTGTATTCATTCCTACAAGGCTAAAGGTGATAAAGTTGGTCTAAAATAACATGGAAGGATTTCTTTTTTCCTAAAAACTGCAGCTACCTACAAACATAAAGCTAGGTTTGAATTTTGTTCAAGTCAAATGAAGCTAACAGACTCACCATACTCGCTCTGCTCTCTTCTATCGCTGCTCTCTAACTGAAGGCGTGAAGCTAACGATCTGGTTGGAGCTGGAAGATAAAACAAAAAAATTGAGGAAATGATGGAAGTTAATCATCTTGGTGAATAATTCTATTACTGACATTCAAGGTAATTTGCTTTTTATATATATACGTGTTGTTCTGGAGGCAGGTAGTTCTGCAGTGGGGTACGTCTGCACCCGAGGGGCCAGGTTGTGCAGGTGCTCCTGAACTAGTTGGATGGCTGCAGTCATCTCTTCACTGCTGGCCAAGCGAGTGCGAGGGGCCACAGGAACTGTCTGTCTCTGAGGCACTGCAGGGCAAAATTAACAAAACAAAGAAAATAACTAGGATTCATTTTCTGAAGTCCTTTAGAACAGAAGCTTGTTGCCAAAGGCATAAAAACATTTTAAAAAGCAAAAAAATCAACCAGATCAACCTCTGGCATAAATAACACAAGAACTTCTAAGGACAACAAACACGAAGGTAGCAGCACAAAATTCAGGAGCATTGCTTTATCTTTACTTTTTTGTAAGATAACCCTAAAAGCTGATTTTCCTGGCTAAATGTACATTCGTAGGAAACATACTTGTTGCGTAGGTAGTAGTTTTGGTGATTGAGTCCTGTGCCTCAGAGATGGCCTTCAGGATCAGGTTTCTGTTGGCTTGCTTGGCTGGTGGGAGAGTAGGTCTGAAATAAATCCAACCAGACAAGACATATGAATAAAAGATTAAGTAGAAAACATTTTAAAAAAAAAACATACTATAGTGAATACTGAAACAAAATAAGATGTAGGATCTTAACACTGACTTTCGTTCTGGTTTGGATGGGAGCGACACTCTACTGGACAGGCCTTTGGCGCCATAACTCGTCTCCTCCTCTTCTGCATCGTCGCTGTCCTCATCTGCAGCTTGGTTCACTCGAACAACAGAGCTCGCTACTGGCGCCTTTCGCTTCCGTGACATTTCTTCCTGCTGTGCAAAACAAACTAAACGTGAATATTATGGACTCTCCAACACAAAGCTCAAACACAAGGACTGAAACGGAGCATGAAGGAAAAATACTGTAATGTGGAAAATATCACGTCACCCCTTATTGTTCAGTACTTACAAAGAGCCAAAGCTTTATCAGAATCAGAATAAACTTTATTGGCATTGCACCAAGATACAACGAGAATATGTACGTACAGTCGTCTGAAAGATGGGCGGAGTGCACGAAGCTGCGGCTATTAAATAGCGTGGCCTTCTTATTCTTATTCAGAATAATATTTTGCTTAGATGAGAAAAGGGAAGAAAACATGAGGAGAGATGGTATAAAAAAAAGATCTCTCACACCGTGTCCTAGACAGGGCATGATTTGAGGCATCAAAAAAACGTACCACAGCAAAGCAACATAAACAGACGTTATATATTTACATATAGGCGGTGAAAACATTGAATTTTTAAGGGAAAGTCGTAGCATAGTCCAGAGCCCCCCTCAGCCATTGTCCAGATAAGAGGTGACGTTCATCTTCAGCTCAGTTGAGGTTCTGTTATATGTCCACGGCCTTGGGGAAGGGAGGGGTGAGGAAACAGTCAAAGCATCTTTGTTGTTTTCAAAACATTCCAGGAGGAGTTGAGATAAGTCCGGCATCAAGGCCACAGTTTGGGTCAGGCAGAACTCATGAATTGTTGTTTCTGCCTTTTTAAAGTTTCGCTGGTACATATTCTCTGATGGAACTCCAAAACAGCCGAATTGATCCTTTACGCCAAAAGTCGAGCTCACAGCTTCTCCAAGATTATTCCCACCATTCATGAGTACTGCCAGTGAGTTCAGTCCTGATAACAGCTGCTCCAGCTCCCTGCTGCAGCTCTCCAAATTCAGTCTGAGCACTGTCGAGCTTCGACACATCCACACGAATTTGGAGACAATCCAGAATTCGCCAAATGGCAAAATAACCAGTTGTCATCATGAATCCAATTTGTTTCCGTCAAGGTAAGAGGGTCCTCCTTACCCTGACTCCTGTCGGGAGAAGTTGATCAATTTTGTTGAGACCAGCTGATCCTTCGAATTAAGAGGTATGCAGAAGAAAAAAAAGAAGAAGATGCTTTTTAAGGGTTCCCAGGACAAAA